TAAGGTTTTTTTTTTTTTTTAAAAGACATGGACTTTTGGAGAATATTTTTAACTAACTTTTCAAGATAAAAGATGTTTTTCAAGTCCAAATATTATTTTTAAAAATCATTTTTATATTTGATCAAATCATTACATTATAATGACTTTTAACGCACAAAATTATTTTTAATGTATTGAAGGATTTTAAGCTTAACCATTCATTATCAGTTATCAAAGTGTTAGTACGTCTACACTTTATTTAAGAAATCAAGTTCTTGATTTTGCTCCGAAGTTTGACTCTTAAATTCTTGAATGTGTGATTTCGATCTCGACCTCGTTCATGAGTAGTGTTATTCATAAACAGTCTTATGATTATTGGTGATGTCACATTAAATAATTTGACATCTAAATTCTACATTTAAGATGACAAATCAATTAAAGATATCAAACTTATAAAAATTATATATATTTTTTATTTTCTCTTGTTGTTCTTGAAATTGAGATTATTTGGTTGATCATATTATTAGTTATTTTTCGTAAGTGGTATTAAGTAGAAATTGTCATGTTTATTACCTTATGTAGCTTTTATGTTAATTGATAGTGTTCTCTATCACTTGCTCAAGAATGTGGATATTTCCCCTTTTAGGGTTTGTTGGAAATTGAGAATTGGTTCCATGTTAACTGATGGTATTTTTATATTTTCATTTTGCCCTTTTTTTGAAGGTTCATTCGTGAAAATTGAGACAAATGAAGAAGCATCAATCACTTAAAAATTATAATCGAATATTTTAGAAGTTTGATGAATATGATGATACTTTTACAAGTTTGATTCAATCAATTAAATTTTTCAATATAAAGAAGTAGAAAAAATATATGCAATGTAAGTTTAAAGATTTTCTTCAAAATATGTCATCTTTTAATGAGTAATAGAGATAAGTAAACAATAAAAAGAGAGCTGAAAACTTTGATGAATATGATGATTATGCTGTCGCTTACACCTTGAAAACCGCAATCGAACTCATCAAAATTGAGAAAAAAAATTGTGCTTGGGAGAAAAAGAATAAGCAGCAGGCTTTTTGGCCATTAATTCTCTTGCTAGCAAAGAAGAAAGAAAGAAGACGAAAAAGTGGGGTGAAGGGTAGATTTGGTAATAATTATTTTAGAGAGAGTAAACTTGGGAGATAATTTAAGAAACAATCAAAACCCGTTGATTTGATGAGTTGAGAAAAATAATCAAAATTACACGATATCGATTTTGAGTGATTTTTAAATCATTTAAAACAGTGCTAAAAAAACTAGTAAGCACCAATTTTCTTAACGATTCACAAACGGCACCATCCAAAACTGGTCAAAACCAATGAAAAAAAAAAAACTCCCAAGCATGCCCTCAAGTTCTTGCAGAAGCAAATTTTTTTGTAGGGCCTTTCTTTGTAATCGATATTGGCAAGCCAATTGGCAACTGTATTGTCATCTCTCCAAAATACGAGAAAACTTTACTTCCACTAAAGTTCCCAAGCAGTATTGTATTTTCCAAGAGCTACTTTCTTTTCTCCATGATTAGGTGAATACAAGCTAATGAGTGAGACTCAAACCCAAACATGTGCATTGTTTCTAATGATATCTCCTCCACCTTATAGTTGAGATTACTTAAAGCACCTTCTGTGTTGACCATCTAGAGTGCGTTTGGTAGGGATTTTTAGGGGAAGAATTGATTTTTGAATAGTGATATGATGGGAAATGTGTGGTTGAAAAAGAAGAAAAAATTATTGATATGATGGAAAATATTATTTTATTGAAAAATGTGTGGTTGAAAATGAGAATTGATTTACTGTAGAAAATCAAAATCCATACCAAACAGGCTCCTAATTTCAAACATACTTGTGCATGTGTTTTTCTTTTCCTTTTTAAGTCAAAGAAAAGGCATGAAGCCTTAATTTTTAAGGCTATTTAACAGATAAGGAAAGTTCGGAGTTGAACCATGCTATATGTACAACCATAGTTGACAACTTTTAAGCAAATAAATTGTTACTAAATTAACAAGCATGTTAACACAGCTGAAACATACCAGTATGCATTAGCGTCATTTAAAAAGTGTTGAGAATTAGGAACCCTAGTTCTACACCAAGGATAGCGATAAAATCGCAAAAAAGAAATTAAGACACACAAGACTACACAAAATTGTAGCGGTTCGTCTCAATGGGAGACTACGTTCCCTTTCCCATTCCCTCTGATGAAAATAAGTTTACAAAAGAAAAATCGCACACTTTATTTTGTCTGTAATTACTAAACTATTTGCCCCCTTTCCAAACCACTCTAGCGAACTTACCACGAAGGTTGATTCGCGTACGGGCTCCGCGAAGTATGAGAAGTAACAAGAAGATAGCAGTAGCCATAAATTGCGTCCTCTCTTTGACTTTCCTATAGATAATTGATGCTCAACAATATACAGACTCTGCAGAAATGAACTTAATAATACTGTCATCAATGGAACAAATACCCAATTAAGACATTAGCAAATTCGTTAGTTTTGACGAGTTGAGAACCACTGTTCAATTTGCTGTCTACCAAATTGCAAATTAACATATCATGAAAAATTAAAGTTGTCATCATTTTTAATTTTCCAACCTCAACCTCAATTTTAATTTTTAATAATATATTAATTTGTAATTGGATGGACAGTAAATTGGACATCATAAATGGTCAGCAGATCTCAACTTAATTTTGACATACTTGTCAATGCTTTCCATTAGGCACACAAAAGGAAATTAAATAGAGTAATATGATTTATTTTAAATTAAAAGTTTAGTGAGTTGATTGCTTGAAATTAAAGATCAATGATCCTATTGCAATTAGGGTGAAAGTTCAATGACCTCCATTGTAAATATCAATATCACAAAGTATCTAACCGAACCGAACCGATCGCTTTGATAAACCTGTTTGAATTAAAATTGTACATATCACTCGTGTTTACATGTACTCAAGAAACATCAAAGAAAGCTTAAGTATCCCAAATCATTACGACCGCAATAACCCCAACACCGAACAACACGGCCAGAAACTTATGGTGTGGCGTGTCGACTGAAACCGATGTTTGAGGCTTATAACCCTTTGACAGTAAATGGTTAATGGACACATAGATGAAAATCCCACAAGCCAGACCCATAGATATGGCGAAAATCCAGTCTGCTACAGAACCCTGCGTCGTTGCATCTATTACAATTCCAATGGCAACACCGATTGGACTTGATATGGCGAATGCAAAAGCATAAGCTACACAAGATAATAGGGGACGATCTGGAATCATCCTAAGAAGAGCTATCCCCATTGCAATTGCAGCGAATATCTTGTGTAGACAGACGGTCCAAAGGGCTCGCCAAGCATCTGCCTTTGTCTCGGCTACTCCAATCGCAATACCCTCAAACAAGGAGTGAAAACACAGTGCGACAATTAACAAGATGCTATCTCCTAGTGAAGTAGCACTCGTGGGGGAATGTTTAGCTAGATTTTCTTCAGTACCGGTCTCGACCTAATATAGGATCGCAGAAAAAATGTAATCAAAATCCACTAAGAACACCATTGAGGAATGACTGTAGAGTCTCTGCTAACTCACCTGCATATGCGAGTGTGAAGGTATTCCGGTAATGGAACCTTTTTCGTTGGGATAACCTGCAGTGGTGAAGAAATATAGATAAAACATCCGTAGTCGGATTATGTGAAGCAATACATTGCTCTTACTCAAGCTTGATTCGTAAAATCAAAGGAAAAGCAATCTGAGTTCTTATGTTCTTCTAATTCTAGTGTCACACTTAGAATCATAGTTTTCTTGAAAGGCCAACAATCTTGCGTAAAAGCATAAATTTCGTGATGTGGGACACTTTCTATTAGCTCAAAAGCCAATCGAATTCTTCTTGTATCTACATGTTGGGAAAATTGGATACTGTCAAACAATAAGAGCCGGTTTGGCAGGCTTTTGCTTCTTATAGAAAAGCTGCCAAACGGGCCCTAGTACTCCAAATTTCCCTCTTACAATTCTATAAAACAGAATTTTAATATTAACAACCAAATTTCTTTGATGAATACGATGCTGCATATATTTTTCACAATTCGATACAAATAACAGAAAAAAAATGATATACCTTGGATTTGAGGATCCGAATTGTTCTTCTTTTTCCCATAAACATAAGAAATAACAGAATCAGCCAACATAGTTAGCAAATATCCAGCACTTGCCAACATAAATGCAAATGGGTATTCTTTTTCAGTCAAGTCCTCAAATGTCTCATTAGAATCACTCAAGAAATGTATCAAAGCAGTCCCCAGAAAAACCCCACCAGCGAATTGCGTCCCAATTACCAAAAAACCCTCGTTCCACTTCATGAAGTAGGGCGAAATCCCCCCTACAAAAGTCCCAAGAAACACCAGTATCAGGCACCATATTTTCACCAGAATCAGAGACCGAGATCTCAAGTTGGGCTTATCCGATGGAGAATCGGAATCGGAGTCGGAATCTCCGCCGTGTGCGGAGGCCGAGACAACGAGGAAGAGCAGAGTAAACACGAGAATCAGAAAATACCGAGCCATTTGTTTAGGGCATTGAACGATGATTCAACGGATATATTCTTGTTATAAATATAAGGGTGATGCTACATGTGCCCACAAACTTTCACACAATCTTTTACATCCTATACATGGAGGGAGGTTCACGATTATTTTATTATGTGTGGACCCCCCTCCACGTGAGGGGGGTGTAAAGGATTGTGTAAAGAATTATGTACACATAGCTTTATTCATTTTTTTTATTGAGGTGGATCCCACGCGAGAGTATGAAGGATGAAGAACCGTGTAGTCCATGGATGGCTTATTACTTTTTAAGTTCTTAAAATATTTAACTAAAACGTGATATTATTATTTATATGCATCAAGTCAAACATAGGCAAAGTGATTTTTAAAAAATAAAATAATTCAAATTCAAATATTTGATGAAATCATATTATTTTTCTCATTATCATTTTTCTACTCATTTTCAACCACATATTATTCAATAAAATAATATTTTTCATCACATCAATAATTTTTCATTTTTTTTTAATCACATATTTTTGTCACATCAATCAAAAAATACATTTTTAAAGAAAATGTGCACCAAACAGGAACGAAATGCCAAGCACATAGCCACTAGTCTATTACTCAAATAAAATTTTAAGCCAGGAGCGGGGAGCCTTTGACACGGTCGGTCATGAGTTAAAGGCATCCAGCATTCAGCAAGAGCAACGCGTGGACCCCATGCTTCATGGGATGTAGACAGCCCACCATGTCAAGGACTTTCTTGTCATTTCATTTAAATAATTGATTCGTGAAAAGAAAACTCCCCTCTTGATTTTCAAAAATTCAATTTCTAACCAAGGAATATTCTAGTCCAATCTACTATTATATCATTAAATTCGACACCAAGTTTAAAACGGAGAAAGTAGATATTTAATTTTGAGTGATGCTACATGTACCCTAATGATTTACCCGACCCCATTCCCTTCCTTACATGAGGTCGGGTCCCACGCATTTATTGGATGTGGGACGGGTAAATCAAAGTGTATCTGGTACAAATAACATAATTCTTTAACTTTCAATCATGTTGTGAAATTAGTGTTCGATAATACGGATTATTCAGCGACTTAGTAATTGTCACCTGATTGTCGTGGTTACATTTTTCCTTTTATAATTTTAGATGTCAATTCAGCCCGTTCGATGAAAATTATTTGGAAAAAATAATGTTTTAAATAGTGAAATTTTGGAGAATATATGGTTAAAAAGTAGAAAAAAATTGAATTTACGTGCAAAATATTTTATTGGGTGAATGTGTGGTTGAAAATTAGTACGTGGAAAAAAATATCGAATATGTGAAAGTCACGTGATGACATATTTTGACGATTTTTTTATTTGAAATCTAATTGTACAAATATAATTCTTGTTTGATTCCTATTATTTTCAAAATATATTTTTTTCTCTTTTAATAAAATAATATGAATTCATCTTCAACCGATCGATTTGCAATTAAAATCAACTAATTTGCGACGAACTAGCTAATTTTCAACCAAAACAAGTAGATTGATAACAAAATTTTGTAATCGTTTATTTATTTTAGTTTCTTTTACTTTTTTTAAAATTAATATTCTAATTTCTAAAATATTGACGACGAGAATATTTTAAAAGGGAAAATCTCAACGTACGGTACACTAACAAGAGTGACTCACAAACATAAGACAACGTCCCTCCAATTATTTATTGGTCAGATCTTTTCTCCCTTTTTTTTTTTTTGATGTTCTCATAATTTTATTTATTAAAAAATCAATTTTACCTTCATTTACACTCTACCCTAACTTCCCAAACAACCCATCAAAAAATAAATAAATAACCTTTCCCCACTCCCCTTTTAACAATACACAATTTCTTCTCCACGCTTCTCTTCTTGTAGTCTTGCCTCCCTGAGCGCTTTGCCTTAGCTTTTCTCTTAATCTTCAATTGAAAACTACATGGATCTCTACAAATCTCAATCCATTTTCTAAATCTTTTTACATCCCAGACGTCTGGCCTTCGTTTTTCTCACCCATATCAAACTTCTTTTCATTTTTCTGTCAAAAATTTAAGCCTTCTTTCTTATTTACTTCCATCACTGCTGAAACCATTTATTTAAACAGAAAAACCCATCTGATTATTGGGTTTTGATTGGTTTAATTAAATTTTCAATACATGACCGTTTCTACCATTGATGCATGCCGCTGCTATTTCTTATAAAGCCAGTTTCATTTGGTATGTTTATGTCTGCGTTTTCATCTTTTAAGCATCATGTTTATAGAAACATATTATTTCCTTGTGGATTATGATCAAGATTCAATCTTTTGTGATTTAATTGTATGTACAGTTAGATTTATATATACGTGGGTTGTTTATTCTCTCCGTGAGTTTTTCAAGTTTTTCGTGAACTGGATTTATTTTTGTTTGGTGTACTGGGTGTTGTTGTAAGGAAGATTTGTTTATATATTATTTCTAGGATCTTGTGCTGATTTTTGTTGTTTGAGATTTACTTTGTTAGTAATTTAGTTCATAGCAGTTTAATTTGAATTTTGTTTTTGTTTTGTGTTGATTTACTCTTCTGTGTAGTTGTTTAGATATGCAGGTTGGATTTTTCGTTACCGTTTCTCAGTTTTTAACAGTTTACACCTGAAAACAATTGAGTATCTCAAAGGATACTGCTAAAATGTAAAATCTTATGATCTATCTATTACTTTTGCAGATTTTTTTACCCTTTGTTTAAATTGCTGATTTGAAAAATGGGTAGAGGGAGAGGAAAAGGTAAGAAACAATTGGTTATTGCTGCTCGTGATGATGCTGGAAGTGGCGAGGATGAGAAGATACCATCTAGGAGAAGAGGAAGGCCACAAAAACCATTGAAGAATGAAATTGAGGAAGAAGATGAAGTCGAGAAGATAGAAGAAGAGGAAGAAAAGGGCCAGGATTCAAAAAGTTCTGGATTGAGTAGAAGTAAAAAGAATCTAGCTGCTGCAGAGAATGGCCGGAAAAGGATAAGGCCTTCTCAAGTCAATGAAAATGCAGATTTAGTGAAAGAGGAAAATGGCGTGGGAATCAAAACTAACTCTCCTGACTCGATCAAGTCCGTTGGGTTCAGACCAAATAGAAGCAGGAGGAAAAATAAGCCTAGGCGTGCTGCTGAAGTCGGTGTTGAGTGCAAATGAAGGTTTTGTTTCACAGATCACCTTCTTACATGGGGGTTTCTGTATTTCCTTTCTTTACTGTGTCGTTTTCTTGCGCCTTTCAGAAGTTCTCAAAATTGACGTGTTTTTGCTATGACTTGAGATTGGGGCAAGTCGTTTGTTGCGGTTCTGGTTTTAGATTCATAGCTAGCTTCTCTATATGAGTATTTGGTGTTGAATAACCATAATCCTTTGCTCTTATAACTCCATTATATGTTGTATTTATGTATCCATTTTATGTTGTAATCAGGTGAAAAGCTTCTCTCCTCCAATTCTTTGTCCTGAGAATTTCTAGTTAACATCTGTGTAAGACATTCCCTTTTCTATTATATCGCAAAGAATATGAAAATGTTCTATACTCGGGTAAAGTGTTAGTATTCATTGTTCATTTATGCTCAATGTATTATGTTGAATTTAGACTAGACTATCAATGTGTTTCTAGCATCTACTTGTATTCATTTATGCTCAATATATTCATCGTTCATTTATGCTTAATGTATTCCTTTGAGTTTAGACTAGACTATACTTGTATTTCTAGTATCTACTTGAAGTTCATTGTGAAGGAAAGATCGGATCTTTATACAGTCGGGTTTTGTGTTTTGTGCAATGAAATATTAGTTTCCATAGAGTGCTCTGTTTACTCTGTGATAGTATATATTTCCCCTGTTATTTCTATTTCGTTTGTAGTAGCTCATGCTTAAGATTCCGGGAGATTGGTTGGGATAATTCTTGATGCCCTTGCCGATGAGGTTAAGAAAGACTCTCCTATATCCCGTGTGTTTATCCTAGCAGACGTTCACACGCTGTTCTGCAACATTTGTGATTATTTACTTCACATCATGGAGAAGAAACGAAAAATATAAAAACGACTTGCCTGTTTCATCCTATAAACATGCTGGTATGCCACGTCTTTGCTAGAGGGAATGCATTTATCTGTAGCATTGCCCTTGGATACTCTGTGGAACTGCAGATTTTACTTTTGACTTAATGGCATTTAGTTTGAAAGCATCTTCCTCTTGATGGTGACTGCAATTCATGAATTGAAATGTGTTTTAATGCATTATAAAATGGCTTCCTGATTATTCATGCTTGTGCTTTAGATAGTACTGCAAAGTATTAATAAAAAATAAAAAATAAAAAAAATCTTGTTTAACGTAGAGATTATTTCAAGCTCTTGACACTTTCTTACTACACTACAATTTTTCTTAGCATTTGAATTCCTATCATATCGAATTACTTGTATCGAAGAAATTTTTTCAAGTAAAAAATGAATTTTTTTTTTTTAGACCGTAGTTAAAAAGTTAGAAAAAGTTTTGAGTGTCGTAAAATGTGTGAATGAAAATGATTATGTTGGAATCGCTCCAAAACAAGATTTCAATCTCTCATGCTGACTCCTTTGAGAGAATATTCCTTTCAATAAAGGAATCTACGAAAAAAGTGCTAATTTTGTTATTTGAAATAATCCAAACTGAATATCTTGACACGCCCATTAAGAATCCAACAAATCCAAGAACACGAGTTCATTTGTTGGCACATACTACTACGAGCCCATTAAAAATATCTCCCCGTACATTTCGGGAGCTTTTATTTTACGTTTTTTAGCTGACTATTTCTTCATCTCTCTAGCACAAATCACTGCCAGGTCAGCTCTCTCTCTCTCTCTCTCGCTCTCTCTCGCTTTCTCTCTCTCTCTGCTAATAGACATAGGTGTGTAAATACTTAATAAATATAATACTTGTACATAAAAATGGTACGTAAAGAATGTTGGAATAATATTTCCAAATAAGAGGAAACGAGAAGAAACAAAAGAATATA